AGTAGTATGCCTCTGGGCAGTTTAGTGAAAAAGGGGTTCTAGGGGGGGCTGGAGAGATGGCTCAGCGGCTAAGAGCACTGGCTGCTCTTCCAAAGGACCTGGGTTCAATTTCCAGCACCCACATGGCAGCTCACAACTGTCTGTAACTCCAGTTCCAGATGTGACATCCTCACACACACACACACACACAAGCAGGCAGAATACCAATGTACATAAAAAAAGAACAATAAATCACTTTTTTTTTTTTTAAAGGATTCTAGGTCAGCCAGGTGTGGTGGTGAATGCCTTTAATTCCTGCACCCTGGAGGCAGAGACAGGTGGCTCTCTTCAAGTCTGAGGGCCAGAGCTACATAATAGGGACATAACAGAACTACATAATAACATAATAGCTTATGGAGACAGGGTCTCTACCATGTCTCAACAAAACAAAGGTTCTAGGCTAGTGTGTAGGTGATGAGAACAATGCGGAAATGTAGGCAGAGAGCTTGGAGTTATGCAATCCTAAAATTATTTAAGGAGTTTGAAAAAATATATTACGGGCATTTAAGGTTTGAGAGCTCAGCACTAATAATCAGTAAGATTCAGTCAGCACTTCGCACCACACAGTACTGTGCTGGAATGTACAAGCGTTCTTTCAGTTTAATGTCCTCACACACCTACCAAGGGGCTGGCCTTTACACTGAGCCCCCATCGCAAACAAAACAAAACAGCACCGCTTTCTACAGCGCCGGGATGCCTCCACTCCCTGAGACCTTGCTCTTGACTACGATTTTGTTTTGTCCTGAAGTACTGCGTTATCAAACTCGGGATACAGCGCATGCGAGGTAAGAGCTCTGCCGTTAGCCTATTATCAATACTTCATTTTTTTTTTTTTTTATTTGCTTAGGTAGCACTAGTCATTAAATGTAACTATGCCAGAGAAGACTTCCTTGGATCACTTTCTTGTCCATTAAGATACTTCCTTTCAAGAAATAAATCCTCAACCAAGAAACTTTCCCCAAAAGGACAACGTATCTGAGCAAGAAGCCTCATCTGTACACACTCCACAGCCACCCGTGTTCCAGCTTCTAAGGCCTGCCCTGTCAGGCAGACAGAGCCTGGCTCCTGGAGAAGATTCCTTTCTCGAATCTCAACTTCAGATCTTAGGTTATCACCATGCATACGGCTTGCTAGGCCAGGTGGTCTCTGCATAGGGGCTACAGCATGAAATAAACATGGTGCTGTTATAAGATCAGGAATTTAACCTGGCGTCATGGCGCATGGGGAGGTCAAGAAAGGAGAACAGAATTTCAGGTCAGCTTGGGCTACCGAAACAGACGATGCTAGGGTGGGATGGCGAGGACACGGACGGAAAAAGGAAACGGGGTTTAGTGGTAGAACGTAGAACTTTCTTTCCTCTCACGCCCAAGGCCTCCTCAGACACACAAGCACGAACTTCAAGAAGGCGACAGCAAATCTTTAAAGCAAGGCCTCTGACTCTTAGTGCAAGTGAATCGGTGGCTTGCCCCTGCTTTGGAGAAGAACCTTTCCAGGCTTGAAGCCACCTGTCAAAAGCCGTAAATCGTGCTAACCCCGGGTGGGGGTGGAAATGGGCGGCAACTGGGGTGGCGGCTCCCAGTCTTCTAGAAACTACGGTTCGAGAACACACCCCGGGCTAAACTGAGTGGGCCCGGGCAGAAGCCGCCCGCCCCCACACCCTTCCAGACAGCTGGGTGGTCCGGGAGCCAGCCACTCCACCAGGGCTCCGCCTTCAGGGTGTGTGGGCTTGCACGCGTGCCACGCATCGCCCGGGCAACCGACGCTGTGCGCGGTGCATTGTGGTCTGCAACAAAATGCAGGGGAAAGATCCTGAGGGAACCATTGAATCCATGGACCAATAAGCAGAGGCTGGTGGCTGTGTTCAGCCAATAGAGGCGCGTTTTGGGGGCGGGGCCGCGGACGCAGGGCGGGGCCTAGCGATTAGGCGGCGGCGGCTGGCGTGGGGCTCCTTAGATGCGCCACGGCTTCGGTAGCGACCGGCTCTACTCAGCTGCTTGAGCGGCGCCAGCACCTTCCCTAGGAGCTCGCAGCAGCCGGCTGGCCCCTGCTCCACGGTGAGAGGGTCCTCGGGTCCTCGCTGTCCCCCGGGCCAGTGGTGCGGGCCGCGGGAGCTGCGCCTTGGAAGCGGGTGGGGGCGTCGTCCTCAGGGGCCGGGTCGGGAGGGCAGCGCGGTCCTCGCCACCCTGACCATTACTTCTCCCGCCCTCCCACCCGGTCCCGTAGGTAACCATGTGCGACCGGAAGGCGGTGATCAAAAACGCAGACATGTCGGAAGAGATGCAACAGGACTCGGTGGAGTGCGCTACCCAAGCGTTGGAGAAGTACAACATAGAAAAGGACATTGCGGCCCACATCAAGAAGGTGAGGACCCGGCACCGCGTCGTTCCTTCTCCCAGGCTCTGCGTTCCCTGGGCGCTTGGCAGATTTTTCCTGTGGCCCTCAGGGCGGCTCCGTAGACAGTTCTAGAAAGGACGCAAAAGCGTTCCTCTGGGGAAGACTCTGGTCTTCCTCAACGCCAGAAGTTTTTTTTTTTTTTTTTTTTTTCCTTCTTCTTCTTTAAACCCTCTGCTCCTTGGGGGAAAGCGCCACCTAGCAACGGTTTCCAAGATCAGGGAGCAGTGAGCAGTTCCCCCTACTGTAGGATTCCTGCGCCGAGGATCCATCTGGGTGTTCCGGAGGGGGGGGGGTTGGGGGGAACTGCGTGGGTGTTTCCAGCCGGGCTAGGAGGAGATCTTGCCAGCCTCTCAGCCGGGAGTTAGCCGACAGTTCAGGGAAAGTGGGTGGCAGTGGTGGTTGGGGTCTTGGGTGGAGGCTCGGTAAATGGCAGTTTGTAGAAAGCTGGCAAGATTGCCAAGTTCTCAAGCTATGTTTGCTGGAAGGAAACTGGAAGCTGAAGCCGTGGGAGGGTTGCAGTGGAGAACGAGAAGATGAAAGACTCACATGGAACAGAAATGAATACCGTTTTTGACAAACGCAACAGCATGTGCTTCTGGACTGTGAGAAAGACGAGGTTTTCAAGCTGCATGCAGGAAGAGATATGAGGCGCCCTAATGAATTTTACATTTTGGCCCTGGTTCTGGACAACTAGTGAAACTAACACATTCCAGTTCCATGCCCATTGGGATAGGGGAAGCAGATGCTCTCTAACTTGCTGATCTTTAAGACTGGGTAGTTGATTCAGAGAGGAGAGTGATTTTATTATTTTTTTTCCAAGGCAGGGTTTGTCTGTGTAGCCTTGGCTTGATCTGGACTCACGTTGTAGAACAGGCTGCCCTCGACCTCGCAGAGATTTGCTTGCCTCTGCCTCTCCCCAGTACTGGAACTACAGGTGTGGGCCACCACGCCCCGCTGGAGGAGAGCCATTTTAAAGAATAAAGTCTAGCTAGTTAGCTTTTGGGTTGTGAGCCTGTATTTTTTTTTAAATCCATCTTGATTTATATGAAAATCGAGGCTTCATTCTTTAGTCCTTCTGAGGAGTAATTTTTACTGTCTAACTGGATTTGCGGTGCATGGCAAATACGGTGGTATAATAGTTATCAGGAACAACCTGATAAACTATAAGTGCCGATGTCCTCTACCTCTGTGGAATTGCTCAAGTCAGAGGTACACTTTGTCCTTTAGTCTTTCTAAGGGGTAATTTTTACTGTCTTTCTCGATTTGGGGTGCATGGCAAATATGGTAGGATAGTTGTTATCAGGAACAACCTGATAAACTGTAAGTGCTGATGTCATCTGCCTCTGGAATTGCCGAAGTCAGAAGTACATTGGGAATGATGGTGTACACCTTTATCTCTTTGACTTCAAACTAATCTACTTACTGAGTTCCAGGACAGTCAGGACTACATAGGGAAACTCCATCCAAAAACCGACAACAGAAAGACCCCCAAAGTGGTCAGAGGATTGAAAATGACCCTTATGCCTTTGCTCTCCTCATCTCCCATTCCCATCTTACCTCAGAGTGCAAGCATATTGCATTACTGTTCTTAGGAAGGTGATTTAGAGCCAGGGTACATTCTTTTAAGAATTTGCTGGGGTTGTTAGTATAGTTCAGTGGTAGAGCCTAGTTGTGCTCAAGGTCCCCAGTGTGGACACAATTTGAGAAGCCAGGCCTTTTTGGTTCTGCAGGCTCTGGCTTTTTTTACAGAGTGAATTCTCCAAGTGTGTCACTAAAGTTCTGCTTTATTCTTTCCCAGGAGTTTGACAAGAAGTACAATCCCACCTGGCACTGCATCGTGGGGCGGAACTTCGGTAGTTACGTGACACATGAAACCAAGCACTTCATCTATTTCTACCTGGGTCAGGTGGCCATTCTTCTGTTCAAATCCGGTTAGAAGCACAGCTGTGCCAAACACCCAGTGAGCCATCCAAACACAAGGACTGCATCCTAGATCCAAATACCAGAGACTGAATCTTCAGCCTTGCTAAGGGAACACCTCGTTTGAATCTGTTGTGTTTTGTACAGGGCACCATCCTCTGTACCTTTGTGGTTATAAACTAATTAGTAAAACAGCATACATTTGTATTTATTTTCTAGTCCATACTTCTGTACCCCATTTTTTTTCTCCCGTAGGCCATTCCTTTAAAAATAAATCTGTTGGAGATGTATATGTGTGTGTTAGTTTGTTCAGGTAAGACAGGGTTGAAGCAGCTTGTAGTTGATAAATGACCAGGACTGTAGGTTTGGGGTTCTTTCGTAGGATTAGACATTTCAGTGCTCTTGAGAGGGATGCTTGGCCGGCCGCACCTGTTTTTCCAGGTGGTTTGGGCTATTAGCCACGGGTCAGGACCCATCCCTATCACTCTAGCAGGAACTGTAGGGTCTAGCTGCCTGGAATAGCTCAAGACTTAGCTTGTTAGGCTGTGCTCAGCAATCAGTAGTTGTGAATCAGCTTCACTTAAGGACCCAACAGCTGTGATCTGTACTCACCAAAAGTTTCTCCATTGTTTGAGAGCTACTGTAGCCTACGGAGAAAAGCACTTACCTTTGGGAATTAAGCGTTCCCTGTTTCTGATTTTACAAGATAAAGCTTTTTCTGCTTTAGATGTAATGATTCTTAACAGCCAGAAAACTGCTATACAGAGAGGTTTCGTATAGGTAGCATCAGGCCATTTTGGAAGTTTTTATCCATCTGAACTTTGTTAGACATTGTGTTTTGTCAGGACCAGGAATTTAGGGAATGGATGTGAAACTACTGTTCAAGTGTGTAAGTGTGCATGTGGAGGTCAGAGGACAACTTGTGAGCAGTTGGTTCTCTACCATGTGGGTCCTAAGAATCAAAGACTTGATAGCAAGTCTATCCCTTAAGCCATCTTGCTGGCCTTTTTTTTTTTTGTGTGTGTGTGTGTGTGTGTGTGGGTCTTACGAAGGCCAGGCAAGCTTCAAACTATGAACAGCTGAGGATAACCTTAACTAATCTTCCTTTGTCCTCCTGCCATATACTTTGGTTGCAGATGTGTGCCCCTCCTGGTTCCATTGTTTTTGTGAGTTGATGTTTACCTGCTATTTGCAGAAAAGAATGGGGTACTTTGGTTTATCTATTTGAATAGGTAGAGAAAACATTTCCATGAATCAAGTTCCTTTCCCTCCTTATGACCTATTTTTATTTGAAACCAAACAAGAATTTGGCCATCACAGCTGTAGTTTGTCTAACCAGATGATGGTCTCCAGCAACAGTCCCTAGAGCTGATGCAAGACCACAGGCTGGACATTAAGGGGTCTAATGTAATTTGATTGGACCCATGTTTACTGTCAGGAGGCTGGTGGCTTTGAACTTTCATTTCTGGGATCAGATGTGAGAAAACATGTTGCTATAGAAATAAAATTGGTTTGACGCTTTATGGAGTCTGTCCCAGTGCCTGCCCCTTCCTGTTAATTTAAAAGCCAGTTGGCTTCAGCTGGCTGAAAATGAAATGTCAAGTTTTCTCAGATCCTCATTGCTGCTGTTCTGAGACATTTGTAGTTAGCCGACTAGAAGCTGTTCTGTGATCTATAAATGACCCCGAGTGTGCTGGGCCAAAAAGCAACATCTGAAGCCCTTTCAGATAATCTTTTTTTTTTTTTTTTTTTTTTAAATCTTTGTGTAAAGCCTACTAGCTAGCCTCAGCCTCCTAAGTGCTGGGATTACAAATGTGCATTGCCATACAGACTGGTCTCTACAATTTCTTAGCAAGGCTTACTACTAAATGTCGTATAAAACCTCTTAGTATCGTACTGGCCTATAATGAGGACAAACTCTGCCTAGACCTATTCTTGAATACTGAAGGGGGTAGGCTATATGAATAGTATTTTTTTCTTTTAGGTTTTTTGAGGTATGAGCTCAACACACAGCTGTAGCTGGCCTAGAACTTGCTCTATGGACTTGGCTTGTGGCAGTACTCCTGAGTGCTGATATCACAGTTTTGTGCTATTATTCAGGGCTCGTAAATGTTTGTGTATTTTATGTATATCACTGCTAGCATGTATATGTGTGCACAGTGCCCTCAGAAGTCAAAAGGGGGGATCTCCTAGTACGAGTTATAGATGGTTGTAAACCATCGAGCTCGGCTTGCAAGGGCAGTAAGTACTTTTTACTGCTGAGCAATCTAATTCTGTTATAAAGAATTTCCTTCCCCACTCCCTCCCTTTTTCTTTCTTTCTTTTTTTTTTTTTTGCTATAACCATGTATTCTGAGAAGAAGCTGTTTGCCAAGACTTGCTCAGCAGTGGCGTTCATGGTGCTGAGGACTGACGAAAGGATGCAGACACTAACTGTATTTGTGTCACCTCCTCCAAGAAAAGAGTATTGAACACCACCCAAATTGTAAACTTTACTGCTTCACAAAACCCTACTTTTTTTTCTGGTGATGAACACCAAACCCAGGGCCTCAATAGGCTAAGCGCATGTGCTCTCCCACTGAGCTGCGTCCTCAGCCCCAGCTCTAGCACGTGCTCACCCCTGAACACCTCACCAGCGTTCTGACTTGGACCTTGGCTTTTGGCCCTAGATTCATTCATTCAGCTGTGGTCTGCAGGGCTGGTTCAAATCAGCCTTGGGTTCCAATGATCCATTATTGCTCTGGAAAACGTCTGTGATGGAGAAGCTATAGATAAGCTTCAAAACTTCATTGGAGCTGCTCTCACCTGACTCCCACATGGCACAGATAAGTGCTAGCAGGAGTTTAGCAAAAATCAGGCCAGATACTTCTGGAGGCCAGAGCAGCCTGGGTAGCTGCTAATGAGAGCTACAAAAAAATGAAAGCATTTGTTTCTTCCTTTTTGAGGCTGGTCAGTGCAGAACATGAATCCAAGGTTTTATACCCTTAGGAGACGGATGCTCAGCTACTGTCTCATCAGAGAGATTATCTTCCAGTTCTAGGCTTCAGCAGAAATGACTGCCTCATGCTCCACAGTAGAAAAGGAGCTAAAGTTTGAAGCCTGAATGAATGGCCACAATCCCTGTAGTGAGGTTCTCATAAGTCACCTTCTGAAAGCCTGCATCTTCAATCATCTCTTTGAATTCTTCCTAAAATACAAGAAAAGACACATGGGATGCCTGGGCTTCAGCTTTGGGGCCTTTGTTTTAAGTCACAAAAGCATTGTACCTGATTTGGGAACTTCCGAATACTTTCCACAAGGTATTGGTAGGACTTCCAGTCTCCTGCAATAACCTCGCCAATGACAGGGATGATCTGAAAGCTGTACAGATCATAGAGTCTAAAAAAAAAAAAAAAAAACAAAGAAAGAAAAATATTAAAGAGGGTTCTAGATTCTGGACATTATTCTCTGACCTCTCTACCAATAACAAAAGTGTGTGTGTTGGGGCTGGAGGGAGTGGGGGAAGGACTGGAAGAGATGGCTCAGTGTTTAAGAGTGCTTATTGCAGCTAGGCACGGTAGCACAGAGGCAGGTGGATCTCTGTAAGTTCCAGGCCAGCCAGAGCTACATAGTGAAACCCTATCTCCAAAAACAAAACAAAAAGAGGCCAGGCACGGTGGCATACGCCTATAATCCAAGCACTCAGGGAAGCAGAGGCAGGTGAATCTCTGAGTTCCAGACCAGCCTGGTCTACAAAGCGAGTCCAGGACAGCTAAGACTACACAGAGAAACAAAACCAAAAATCTTTAGAAAAATGTACTTGATCAGAGCATGGTGGTGCATGCCTGAAATCCCAGCACTCAGGGAGGCAGAGGCAAGTGGATCTCTATGAGTTTGAGGCCAGCCTGGTCTATAGAAGCATGTTCGAGGACAGCCAGGGCTACACAAAGAAACCCTGTCTTGAAAAAAGAAAGAAAAATGTGCTTGATTCCATCCCTTAACAGTAACTGGACAGAGTAAGCCAGGGGTCACTGACTCAGATTTCTACAGGAGTCAAGCAAGTGCCTGAAACAAGGCAAGTAGGCCAAGAGTAAGGCTAAGAGGCCCATACTGCATGACAAAGCTTCCAGAAAACGGGAAGAGAGGCAGCTAACTCCACCTCTGATGGCTGCATGGGAGAGTCTGCTCTACCAAGCTTGTGACATCTGAGTTTTCCAATGACGGTAGAAACCAATTTTCTGATTTTAAGTTTTTTGGTTGGCCAGTGAGTTTGAGATAGTCTCATTCTGTAGACTAGCCTAGAACTCATTATATAGACCAGGCAAGTGTTGAACTGGAGTGCTGGGATTACAGGTGTGAGCCACCACACTTGGCTATTAAATTTTTTAAAATAACATGAGTCAAGCAAAATAAACAACATGGGCCAATATGGGCCTCTGGGTACAAGTTGAGGCTCTGGCCTAAGCATTCTCACTTAGGACTCGCTGTCCTCTTCAGGTCGTTTGGGACCTCTGAATGGTATTCAGGTGCTTGTAGCTTACTGGCTACCCATGCTGGAGTGGGGAACCTTTTGCTAGGCAAGTTTACAAAGCTGTGTTATCAGTGCTAACCTGGATATGAAGGGATCATTCACTTGGCTAAACTCCAGACAGAGGAATCGTCCTCCTGGCTTTAGGACCCGATGGGCTTCCTGGAGAGCCTGGGAGAAAGAAGGAGAAGAGAAGCCTGAACAGAGCTCTCCTGGGCTGTGAGAGGCAGAGGCGGCTCTACGCGTACTGTAAACATCCCCCATAAATGCCCTTTTACATCCTTAGGAGTCACAACACAGTGGAGTGACCACGTTCCAAGCACTTGCTGTCCATGACCACAGAAAGCTGCTGACACAGGTGGACGGGCACAGCTCCATAAGATAAAGCTTGGAGTTATGGATCAGAGTCACACTAATGATTGTGACTCTCCCACATGATTTTGTTTGTAAACTCCTGTGTATGGGTGTTGTTCCTACATGCATGTCTCTGTACCACATGCGTGCTTAGTGCCTGCAGAAGCCAGAAGAGGACATCATAACCCTTGGAACTGGAGTTAAGAGACAGGTGTGAGCTGCCATGTGGGTGCTGGGAATGGAACCTTGGTCCTCCAGAAGAGCAGCCATTGAGTCATCTCTCCAGACCCCAACCCCACAATCTTAAGGGAATCTACCTGACAGAAAATTACATGTATGTTAATAATTCATTTTATCATATTTTATTTTTTGTTTTTTTTAATACAAGGTTTCTCTGTGTAGCCCTGGCTGTCCTGGAACTCACTCCATACAGCAGGCTGGCCTTGAATTCAGAGATCCTCCTGTTTCTGCCTCCCCAGTGCTGGGATGAAAGGTGTGTGAGACCACAGCCAAGAGTTTTATGTGATAACACAGAGGAAAATCACCATATAAGCCTGACCAATAGCCCAGACCTGTAACCCCATCTGCTTGGGAGACTGAACATAGAGGATTCTAACTTTAAGGCTAGCCTGGGCTATAGAATGAGTTTTAAGGCCAGCTTAACTTAATAAGATTGTCAATGAGCATGTATATAAGCTCTGAGTTCAAGCTCATACAACACAGATACATCTGGTCACTTGATGTGTGTGTGTTTCCTTAGAGTGCTGGGGTCTAAACTCAGGGATGTGCACATGCTAGACAAATGTCCTACCCCTTACTGCAGCTCCAGTACACATCCGGCCTTCTCCTGAGTGCATATTTATTTATTTTAGACAAGGTCTCACTATGTAGCCTTAGCTAGCCTGGAACTCACTGTGTAGACCAATTTAACAACAGACTCCCAGAGATCTGCCTGCCCTTGCCTCCTGATAAGATTCTAAAGTCGAACCGCAGTGGACCGGATGTGAGAAGCCTCTGTAGTCGCAGCCCTCTGGGAAAGTGGGGAGCAAGTGTGCAAGGCCAGCACCAGCTACTTAACCAATACAGCCTGCTCCAGATACACAAGATCCTGTCCCAGAAAAGCCAAGGTAACATAATGGCGGAAATATTTAGCACTAATACTTACATTAAAAGGAAGGCAATCTGGACTGGAGATGGCTTGGTAGGTAACCTGCCTGCTGCCATAAAGATCTGAGGGAGGGTCCCCTGGAGAGGCAGAAAATTACATGTCCCGAGGGGGACGCTCGGGGCTCACCAGCAGTCAGTTAGGCTGAAAGCAGTGGGCTACCTGATTAGGTGACAGACCTGTCTCAAAAATTAAGGGGGAGACTGATGGCCGAACAGGGAAAAGTGCAAGCCTGGTGACCTTCAGCTGGATCCCTGGAACCCAAGTAAAGGATATCCTGTACCTCTACATGTGTGCCATGGTGTTACCCCATCCCTTCACATTCTCTCTCTCTCTCTCTCTCTCTCACACACACACACACATACACAATCACTCTATCACAGTGGCACAGGCTTGTAACCTTAGCACTTAGGGAAGGCAGAAGTAGAAGTAACTCACATTTGAGGCCAGACTGGGCCACGTCACATTCTGCAAAACAAAACTACAACCCCAACCCTGTGGCTGTTGTTGTCTTCAGACCTGCCATACAGCTGAGGATGGCCTGAAGTCCTGGTGCTCCTGCATGTGCAGCTCTGGGGGAGCCCTGTCCTCACCCTCCCAAGCACTGGGGCTCTGGACCTATGCCACCACGCCTGATTGCAACAGACATACTTAACAGGGACAAAATATCTTCACAAAGATACACAGGGAAGTGGGGATTGTGTGGGAAAACAGGCACAGGATGGCTGGAGATCAGGGTGGCGTCTCACTGACACAATCTTGAACTTTGATCCTGTTCAAAAAGTATTTTAGGGTTGGAGAGATGGCTCAGAGGTTAAGAGCACTGGCTGCTCTTCCAGAGGTCCTGAGTTCAATTCCCAGCACTCACATGGTGGCTCACAACCATCTATAATGAAATTTAGTACTCTCTGCTGGCATGCAGGCAGAACACTGTATATGTCATAATAAATAACTCTTTTTTTAAAAAGAATTTCATTTTAATAATACTTTTTTGTTTTTGAGAGATAGTCTTGTTACTGCCCCTGGCCATAGGCTGAGACCTCATAATCTCCTGTGGCCTTGAACTTGCAATGATCCTTCAGCTCCTGCCTCCTGGGTACTGGCTCACGGGTGTGAGCCACAATAACTGGCAAAAAAGTTTCAGTCAGAATAATTTAAAAAACTGTTTACAGATGCAGGAGGGCCATAAGAACCAAGCTACAGAGTGTGGTGCTCCACAACAAACTGAAACATTCCTTTCGCTTACAATCTTGTAGGCTCCAGGCTGAGAGGGCTGGACCTTTACTTTCACACTCTGGTGATGATTCGGAGCCAAGAAGGAACAAACAAAGAGACAAGGTCTCATAAAAGAGCCACATGCCTTTAATCCCAGCAGTCTGGAACCAGAAGCAGGTGGTCTATGTAGTGAGTTTGAGGCCAGCCAGGGCTACAAAGTGAGACCTTTCCTCAAAAACAAACACTAGCAGCAAAAACAGGCTGGTCTCAAACTCAAGATCCTCTTGCCTCAGATTCTCAGATTCTGCAATGGTAAGCATACGCTGTCATGCCTGACATAGAACTACATTCTAGCAAATGATCAAACCTACAGAGGGGGTTGTAAAGACCCTCTGATCTATGGCCAGTGAGAAATTTATATCTGAACCGGAGGGCAGTTTAGTGGACTTGAGTGTGGAAGAATCTGTGTTAAGCCCAAGTAGCTGGTATCTGGACAGAACTGGAGGGCATTCAGTGGCTTGGCTGTCTGCACAGAACTGTGTGGTGTGGGAAAACCATATGACTGGTGTCAGAAACAGCCTGCTACAGTAGAAAAGTAATTTTTTTTTTTTACAGGGTTAGTCTGTATAGCATATTCTGTCTAAAGAGAGGGTTTAAATTTTTTTTTTTTTAAAGCTGGATGTGGTAGTTGGTGTCTGTAATTCTAGCTTTGGGTAACTGAAACAGGATGGCTGCAAGTTCAAAGACAGCCTGGGCTACACAGTGAGTTCCAGGTCAGTCTGGGTCATAGAACGGGACCCTGCTTCAACATAAAAAAAAAAAAAAAAAAAAAAAAAAAGGAATGTTTTTGAGACAGGATATTGTTACGCAGATCTTACTAGCCTGGAATTCACTATGTAGGCAGGTGCTGGTAGCGCATGGCTACAGTCTCAACACTTCAAAGGCAGGAGACTGCTTTAAGTTTAAGACCTGCTCTACATAGTGAATTCCAGGCTAGTAAGATCTGCGTAACAATATCCTGTCTCAAAAACATTCCTTTTTTTTTTTTTTTTTTTTTTTTTTTATGTTGAAGCAGGGTCCCGTTCTATGACCCAGACTGACCTGGAACTCACTGTGTAGAGCAGGTCTTAAACTTAAAGCAGTCTCCTGCCTTTGAAGTGTTGAGACTGTAGCCATGCGCTACCAGCACCTGCCTACAGGATGCTTTTTATTTAACTAAAATATATATAGCTGGGCAGTGATGGTTTATACCTTTAATCCCTTTAATCCCATTACTGAGGAAGTAGAGGCAGGAGGATCTCTGAGTCTGAGGCTTGATCTACAGAGCAAATTCCAGGAGAGCCACGGCTACACAACTGACCTATGGGGTTCCCACAAAGCTACACCTAAAGGTACATACTCAGCAGTGTCACCCTCAGGTCTTCTGGAGAGTACTATCTATAGCCAAACCAAAGCTAAATCGCTAAAGAACGTTCCACTCCAAAAGCAGAGATTCAGACACAGAAGGAGCCAGTTTCTAGCAGATGGTCTTTACATGTTTTGGACAGAATGTTGAGGTGGAAATAAAGAGCTGAATCCTATTCAAAAAGAACATTCCCTTCTTGGTGTAGAGGAACTGTCATGTTCCCTCCTGCCCATAGAGCATCTGTGTGCCATTTTCTGTGTCTGACCATGCCTCTGGCCTGCAAACAGAGGCTTCACAAGAGGAAACAGGAAATGCCTCAGCAAGTCCAACCCACCCAGAGAATGTAAGTGCCAACCTGAGCAACTAAGAGCTGTCCTGGGATTCTGGCTCAATTTTGTGACCAAGAAACTGGCAATTTACAAAGAAATACCAGGCATGGTGGAGGACACCTTTAATCCCAGCACTCAGGAGGCAGAGGCGGTGATCTCTGTGGGTTTGAGGCCAGCCTGGTCTACAAAGGGAGTTCCAGGATAGTCTGGGCAACAGAGAAACCCTGTCTTGAGGGAAAAAAAAAAAAAATTAAAAAGAAAGAAGAAAGCCCTGGGGCAGGAGAGGTGATCAGTGACTAAAAGCAAATACTGCTTGTACAGAGGACCCAGGTTCAAGTTCCCAGCACCCAAATCAGATGGCTTCTAACTGCCTGTAACTCTACTCTAGCTCCAGAGGATCCAACACCCTCTGGCCCCTAGGACACCTGCATCACACGGTGCACACAGACTCACACAGTCACATAAACATCAATATGTAAAACAGAAGAGGGCTGCGAGTTCAGTAAGAGCACTTGTTGTGGAATTAAGGACCCAAATTCAAATCCTTAACACCTATGTAAAAGCCATGCTTCACAGGACCAGCATACCAGCGTGCAAACCATACGTGCATGCATGTATGCACATGCACGCACACACTCACACACACCCACACACACCACAAATAAATACATTGAGGAAGAGGAGGAGGAAGAAACCTCTAGGCTTAAAGTAGTCACTCCTCTTAAGTACTGGGCCTAAGAAAGAATCATCTGTGTCCTTAGTTGGGGTTAGGCCCATCCAGGGGAACCATTATCCTGAAAGTCACGTGAACTGAGCACACAGCTATTCATACCTGGTCAATGTGTGTGACATTCCGGATCCCAAATGCAATGGTGTAAACATCAAATTTGTCATCATCAAAGGGCAGTTCTTCAGCGTCTCCAAGTACCCACTCGAGTCCTGGAATACAAGAGCAGCTCTGGCTGTAAGTCTAGACAGCTGTTTTGCAAGCACCAGAGTAGTGCACCTGAGGATTCTGTGGAAGGCCAAATGTATGAACCAATGTGTGTGGCTTGTGGTGGGGACTATCTGGTCACACAGAACCCATGATGCAAAGTCTGGGTAATGTAGAACTGAAGTAACAGAAAATTCAAGAACTGTTTGGTGGTGTGGAGACGCTGGATTTGGAGGCAGAAACCATGAAATACCTGCCTTCTCCACTGTCATCCTCCAATTTGAGACCCTAATTTATCTGGGGACAGGCTACCTGCCAGCATTTTCTCTCTCTCAGTGCTTGGAGATCAAACTTTGGCACTCTGTGCACTGGGCAAATGTTGCCACTGAGCTAGCATCTAGCCCTACCCTAAGCAGTTTTTCCCAACCAGATACTTCACAGTTAGCACTGTTGTGGAGCCAAGGCCTTAAAATTTTAAGACTAGTTTGTTTTGTTTGTTCTTTTTTTTTTCCGAGAGTGTTTCTCTGTGTAGTCCTGACTGTCCTGGACTTGCTTTGTAGACCAAGTTGGCCTCGAACTCACTTGCTGTGGCCTCCCCAAGTGCTGGGATTATAGGTGTGTGCCACCCGGCCTGGCTAGTCCTTATCATTTTATAAAACCAACCTCCTGGGGCTGGAGATGGCTCAGTGGTTAAGAGCACTGGCTGCTCTTCCAGAGGTCCTGACTTCAATTCCCAGCACCCACATGCCTCGTAAGTGTCTGTAGTGCCAATTCCAGGAGATCTAGTACCTCCAGATATACGTGCAGGCAAGATACTAATATTCAGAATATAAAAATAGACAATAAATCAAACCTCCTTTTCTTGGTCATTAAAAGTTTTTTGTTTGTTTGTTTCATTGGTTTTTGTAGTCTTGGCTGGCCTTGAACTCAGAGACCCACCTGCCTCCACCTCCCAAGTGCTCTGATTATACTAATGCACCACCATACTTAGATTGGGAGCCTTTTTAGAGTCTATGTCTAATTGGCTGTATGTTGAATAACAGCAACAAAGGACAGATTCCAGCCATTTAGCTTAGGTTTGTTTTTGTTTGTTTGTTCTTTAATGTGTATGCTGTGTGCCTGAGGGCATGTAAGTGCACCACATATGTCCAGGAGCCCACAGAGGTCAGAAGAGATGCTGGGAAACTCTGGAACTGGAGTTTTAGGCAGTTATAAGTTGCCATTTGGATGTCGGGCACCCGCTGCAAGAGCAGACTTCTCTCAGTCACTGAGCCATCTCTCCAGCCCCAGCTTAAGTGGCTTTATTTTTCATTCCATCATCAGGCAGGCCGAGGCTGGACTGCTTATCAGGCGCTCAAGGCCAGCCTTACCTGCTGGCCTGGGTGATGTGACATCCTGTTTCAAACAACAACCTAGGCAGGTTCATAGTTACACTATGGAAGATGGTTCCAGAAACAGAACAGTACCTTTCATTTCACTGTTTGTTCTCCATTCCTTGTGGCCAAGCACCCAGGAAGGGAAATAGATTTGTCAGTAGGAGTAAGACACATAGTGCCTTTGTCTAGTAACTGCTGCCTTCTGACTAGGGTGGATGGCTGACAAAGAGGTCTTCATCATGAAGGCCAAATGGGCTGCAGTTCGTCTAGGCAGCTCCTTCTTGGTGTGTGAGGAGGAGGAGAATAACCGGCCTAAAATAACCAGACATTCACAGTGAGAGAGGGGGAGTGGAGAAATGCTGACTTGCCCAGAGGACGCTTTTGTGATACGCCCATCTCTCTGGCTGCCTGCACAGCCTTGCCAGCGTGGAAGAGTCAGGACAGCAGCTGGAAAGCGGTGCCAAGAGGGCGACATAGAGCATCGTTAATGAATGTGCAAATATTAAGAAAAAGCTTTTGTTGTGGCTCTTTTAAGAGGGTCTCACTACGTAGCCTGGACTAGCTTGGAACTCATGATATAGACCAGGCTGGCCTCAAACTCACAAAAGATATACCTAGTTTCCCTTCCAAATTCTGGGACACAGTGCATACGCCTGTAATCCCAGCGCTCAGGGAGGCAGAGGCAGGCAGATCTCTGTGAGTTTGAGGCCAGCTTGGTCTACAAAGTGAGTCCAGGACAGCCAAGGTTACACAGAGAAACCCTGTCTCAAAAAAACAAAACAAACAAAAAAAAAACAACAAAAACAAACAAAAAAAACCTATCACACCTGGTTAGAGGAAGTATTTTGAAATATTCAATGGCCAGATGTAAAATCAGCAGAACAGTTGGCATGCAAGAACCTGGGTTCAATCTCCAATACTGGAAAAATATTTAAAAAGAAAGAAAGCAAAAGAAAGCTGTGGGGCTGGAGAGATGCTCAGCGATTAAGAGCACTGGCTGCTCTTCCAGAGGTCCTGAGTTCAATTCCCAGCAACCACATGGTGGCTCACTACCATCTACACAGGGGTCTGATACCCTCTTCTGGCATGCAGGTATACATGCATAAAGAGCACTCATATATAAAATAAATAAACAAAATCTTAAAAAGAAAAAAAAAAACTGTGTGATTTAAGAAGATCCTGCTATGAGTTCAAGGCCAGCCTCGTCTACAGAGTAAGTTCCAGGCTAGCCAAGGCTATATATATATATATATACAGTTAAGATCCTGTCTCAAAACAACTTGAAAAAGAATATTCTTAGGGCCAGTGAGATGGCTCAGTGGACCAAGCTGCCAAACCTGATGACATGAGTTCAATTCCCTGAACCAACATGGTGGGAGAGAAGCAACTGCTATAAGTTGTTCTCTGACCTCCACAGGAGTGCTATGGGTACCAGCATAAGTCCCCATGGCCCCACTAAATAAAAACCATAATTTAAAAAATTAACAATGGCTGGAGAGATGGCTCAGCAGTGAACAGCACTAGCTGCTCTTCCAGAGGAACTGAGTTTGAGTCCCAACACCCAGGTGGCTTACAACCATCTATATAACTCCAGCTCTAGATCTGACACCCTTTTCTGGTCTCTGTAGGCTCCAGGACCCTCATGCAGAGACACATATGCAAGCTAAACACCTACACACATTGAAAAACAATTACAACAAAAGAAGACCCTTAAGCTCTGTGGGCCACACAATACTGTCAAGCTTCGTGTGCTGCTCAGATGCTTGAGCACATCAATGAGCTGTCCTCAGCACACACGCCATCTTCAGCTCCTGTAGTGAGGATTCTGGTCGCGTTAAAAACCCAGTTCTGTTATGTGAATGTTTTCTTTTAATCCCAGGTGGGAGATATGAGGCTGCCTCATTTGGTCAACAGCCACTGACTATGACTGTCTCATGCTCTAGGAGGAGAGTGATTTGTGCCAGCTGCAGATAGTTTAATTCTGGGAATCTGGAAATCTGGAGAGGGTTTAAAGGGAGAGCCCCGAGAGGGCCAGTGGAGACTGCTGCTCCTCCTGAGGCTGCTGGTTCCTGTTACGTGTTTTGTCAAGTGGTCGTGAGCAAAGAGATGAGAATAAACTGGGTATCTTGACAAAGAAGACTGGACTTGCACTAGTCAGCAAGCAGGCAGTAGTCTTAACAGATCTATGGCCCCTTTTCCTTCTAACCTTTTCCTCTCCTACTGAGTGTTGGGAAGATGGAAGGGATTGGGGTGGATAATGGTTGGAAGGGAGGTAGAGATGTGAGTGCCGACAAGCTCCTGCTGACTGGTCCCACCTCCAGAAGCTGCAAACCAAACAGTCCAGCATTCGCTGTGCATCACCTTATTCTACACACACACACACACACACACACACACACACACACACACACACACACACAC